ATTCTGCCCATTCAGCGCCTTTGCAGCGCCCCCGCGCTTGTGTTGGTCCGTAACGCGAATTTTGACTTATTTTTGACCCGAAATTGGACTCTAAAGCTACATATATGCTAGGGTTTGTGTGGGGATGATATAATCTGACTTTTGGAGGCTGAAAACATCTGAAAAAATCAAAGAATTGGAAGATAATTATAGACAAGAATTGAAGGAATCGACATGAAGAAGATTGGACTTAAAGGCTAGAGAAGGATTGGAAGACTAAAACTAAGTTTTCATTCTTTTCTCTTACTTTTACTTCTTGATTTTTTAAGATGTTGTTTAATATGAGAATGATGTTCTTCAATTATATTATGAAATAAATTCTTATTAAGATTACAACGGAACCTATGTCTAGTTAAATTAATCTACTCTCGTTTCTAGTTCTATTGATCGTACATGAGTTGTTTGTCATATTTTGTGCTTAATATATGATTGTGTGGCCAACAATTAATTTGATTCCTTAGATGAAATTGGAGATGAATTCTAGGGATAGATTTGAATATGATTACATGCGTTTGTTAATTCTTCTTAGGATTGAATACCTAGATTTGTGTATAGGATAGAATATACCTATATGCCGTGTGTAACTTTTATGAGAGTTTGAACTTAATGAATCTATTCCAACTTATTTTGCATAGGAATATAGTAATTTAATTGGGAGAGATAACTTTATCTAACTATCGAAAGAGGTTTGATAAATAACTTTGAGTTCTCAGTTAACAACTTATTTTGATTAATTAATTGGAAAGAGAGTGAAAAGATTTATACGAAGCATTAGGGGAAGTTGTAATCTTAACTTCTTTTTTCTAGTAAATTCAACCCTTGATTGTTAAGTTTAGATTTAGTTTTTAATTTATTCATTCCATAGTTCAAGTCCAATTGCTTAAATAAAATTGAATTGATACAAAGTTAGTACTTGGATATTATTAGCAATATTTTTCCGTGGGAACAATACTCTACTTATTACTTTATTACTTGTTGATTGTGTATACTTGCATATAAATTGTCAATATCAAATTCGGACAACAAGTATTACAGTGCTTTTGAGAGAGAGAGAGAACATTGTGTGTAGGAAAGTGTAGTATGTGTAGGGATCTCCAGACTATGAGAGTTCGTCCTCTACATGTAGAGGACTTACATTATATAGGCACACCAAGGCGGTGAGTCGGTGACGTGAGGAATGGGTCCTTCACTATCTTGATAAGTATAACCTTAGTAGGAATGTATTTCCGCATCTTAATATTTTCTCGCTCGTGTCCTTATTCTGTCGGAGGACTATCTTAAGCTGGGCTGATCCTGATCTTGAGCTTAGGCTTGGAGTGGTGTGGACTTGGACTTGTATTGGAGTAGAGAAGAGGGACAGGGAGGTAAGCCATGGGCGTTGGCCTTTGGCTTGGACTTCACTTGATTCCTTCTTAACTTGTGAGCAGGTTCAATTCTTTTTAGGCTCCAATAGTTGGGACTTCTTTTGATGGGTTGACCCAGCTTTAATTGGGCTTTCTCGGTTTAAATTAATTGGGCTTGACCCTGTTAATTTTGGACTCATCAGATTGGAACCTTTTTGTATTAAATCAAGTTTTTTACTTAAATGTTAATTTAAATTTGAGTTATAGTTTAAGATGCTTTTACATAATATCTCATCGTACTTATGTCAAAGACAAAATTATTTATTGGAGATTTTACTACATTTATTGCGGTGTCGAAATTAAAGTCTAATCACATCCCCTCGAACTATTGTAATTGTGAAAATTCAGATTGTGCAAAAAAATTGAAGTATTATCTATTAAACTGTATTAATCCAAATTTTTAGGCGCTCTTGTGGTTTGTAAGAAGGAAAAAAAACTCATTCTTTGTTGTATTTGACACAAGATGATAAGGAGATAGTTTCGTCTATTGACGGAGGTCCCAAATCAAAAATAGAACCTTTAGGCAACACCAAAATAATTCTTAGTACCTTTTAGAGCGATATTTGTTTAAAGACTTTATGAGAGTTTTTTGTCATCAGACCCTCTTGTTCTTTTGAAATTGTTCAAGCTAGATGACAAAATTGAGCTGATCAGTTCGAAAGTGTTGGAAAGAAGAGAAAGCGGTAAAAACCTTTCGAATTTGATTATCGAATAATTGACGATTATTTCACAGTATACCCTCATTCGAATATATACAATCACTTATAAGTAACAATTATTGAGTCAAATACAATTTTTGTTGGGAGAGTTAAACTTTGAGATTTGAATGTTGCACCTCTACATATCAATCACTAAAATCCAACCCATAATGTACTTTACTGTGTTACAACATTAGTAGTGCCAGTTTCTTTGTTTGTGGTGGGTGAGATCCATCGTGTAGGGGAAAGAAGATAGAGACAACATAAAAAGAAAATTGACAGATGATCTAACCTAATTCTTTCAAAATGAAAGAGGGTGGGTAGGGGCCCGGGGTAAGCCACCAAGCAGTTGAACCAGTGTTGGAATTTTTCTCCAAAACTGTCCTTTTATTTAGGGTTAATAATATTTTTACTCTTTAAAGTATGCATAATTATCAGTTTGATCCCTCAAATATTAATTTGATTCTTAAAGTATTTCATTTATACTTAAATGGTTCTTACACAGACGGACCGTTAAGTTTTTACCCGATTGATCACTTGTTAATCACGTGATACCATCTAAAAGAATGACACATGATCAATTCTATCAATAAATTTAACAAATTGTTAGATTAGGAATCAAAGTGAAACAAATTAAAATTTTAGAAATTAAATCAACAAAATTAATCCAATAAATACCAAATTGATAAAACATACATATTTTAAGAATCAAAAGTGTTATTAATTCTTTTATTTATTAACTTTATATCGAAAGAGGGAGTAAAAAAAATTCAAACACCACTATAATTTTGGAAAATAATTTCCCAGTCCTCCTACCCCGTGCACCAATCTCCAAGGAATTTTCATTGACAAAGATAGGGAAGATAAGCATTAAAGTTCGTGCTCTATATTAATGGTTGGGTAAACTTTATTTTACCTCCCTGTGGTTTGTCCTTAGAACACATCACCCCCTTATCGTATAAAAATAGGTAGATAAACCCCTTTGTGCTTTTGAACCAATCTGCTGCCGTTACAATTTTTTTTCAAATTAACAGAAATTGTGTTATACGCGCCTAAAATAAGGGTGGGTATGGAAAAAATCCTGAGTCAATAGTCAAACTTTAATAAAAATATAATTATGCCCTTCAACCATTAAAAAGACAAAATTACCGCTCAAAGCATCTTCTTCCCTTCTTGCCTACCACCTGACAGGCCACCCAGCTGCCCAGCACGTGTTCCTGCACAACTTCACTTCCTCCTCTACCAACACCCATCTCCTCCCATAGCCACCCACCTCCCTATTTCAAGTCACTCTCTCTCTTCGTGCAACCACCCACCGTCGCCGTAACTAGTACACCGACCATCACATACCTCCTCTTTCTGGGTCTCTCTCTCAGTGGTATGTCTTTTTTGAGTTTAATCAATTTGTTTGAATTGTGATTGTAATGTTTGTTCACATTGGGGTGCTGTTAATGGAGAGTGGGGGTGGTGTTAATGAACAGTGGGGATGATTAGGTGGTGGTGGCAGTGGTAGAATGGTGGATGCGGGTAGGGGAGTGGAGCTGGGCGGTAGTTATTTTGTTCTTTAATGGAAGAGAAGAGGAAGATAGGGCGGAAGACACCGAGGGATAGGAATGTCTTTTTCCTATCTCTGTTAACGGTGTTAGCTGTTCAGTTTGGTCCTAAAGCACAAGGGGGTTATCTGCATATTTTTAAACGATAAAGGGGTGATGTGTTCTAAGGACAAACCACAAAGGGGTAAAATGAAATTTGCCCTTGATGGTTTAAGACTTGAGTTACAATCCCAACTGAGTTTGTAGTGTCACCAACCCAACATCCTCCGTTTTCATCCAAATGCTAAACTCCTCTCATCTCAGCTTGTGGGTATCTGCGTCTGGAACAACTTCAACAATACCTATCCTTTGGTTCAGAATTGAGACTTGCCTGCCCATTTATGTGGGGCCCACTCCACCATCATAAGTAAGAATGACATTGAATTGAAGAAAAATAAGTATTCGTTTAAACTCATATTATTTGAATCAAAGATGAATTATATGTATTGAATGATTGACATATATAGAGATATTCGTATAAACTCGTACAAGAATAGAGAAAGAGATGAACTAAAATTCATCCCCGTTCCACTAAACTCGTGATATATATAATATCACAAAAATACAAACTCCACCTACTCTCCCACCCACTTAGTAATACATACATACTATATTACAAACCCCACCTTCGTGCATACTCCTCTTTCCAATAAAAAATTAAAAAAATACTTTATTTTTTTTTAATCCATTTATTATATAATGATATTTCATCCTTCTTACATAATCATTTGTGAGGTTTTATAAATTTGTTTTTCGATTTTTTTCTTAAAATTATAAAAATTAATTATTATGAACAAAGATAGTTGCAAGGACGAAGACGAGAACAAAAATCATAATTTATCCACGGGGCGAAGACGGGGAATAAAAATATTTCCCGCTAACGGGAGTGAATCAAGAGTGAACAAATATTTTTAAAACAAATACAAGGGTGAAAACTATCTACCCGCCCCGTCCACTGTCTTACCCTAGTTATAACCATGAAACTGGCCAAAAGCCAAGGCAAAAAGATCACAAAAACATGATAACATTCACTTTAAAAGTGTTCTCCTTCCAAATGTCATAGATTCAAATCACATAAATATCTCAACATACACCAGATAAGATTGTGTACGCAACATTGTAATTGATCAAAAAAACACAATCGTAGTTTTCCTATAAATATAAATTGGATCTTTATTATATAATGCATTATAAAACACTGAAATTAGTCCAAAGCAAAAAATATTTTACAGTGCGGTCAGCTCCTATCCATGTTCAACCCACGATGAAATAACTTGAGTATGTTGTCATACGGTTACAAATACAAGGAACCCTTATGTCATCACTTCGCACCTGCCTGAAGAATTTAGTTCAAGATGCTCATAAATGACAATATTTCTTGGTGCATAACCTTTCATCTTTTCTTCTTCCTGCAAACACCCCGAAAAGCCTCTGGTAAGGATATCATTGGATTAACGTGAAAAACTATTTGTGCTAATTACAAGAATAAGCTGAGGAATAGAATCTACGTACATGAAAAAGATCCCCAGGCAGGAAATTTTAGAACGCCGCAAATGAACATTTTTTTTGTTTTGGGTGGGATGTTGGGGGGGGGGGGGGGACGATGCAGTGCGAAATCATGGTACTATGAAAACTTTAAAGCAAGCTTGCATTTAATGATCATTAAAGAAGTTGACGCCATTAAAGAACCATCCAATTTTAGAGGCAGCATCCAACTATGAACTATGGAAGCAAAAGGGAAAATGATACTTCCTTTTGTAATCATCGAGGGATCGAAACCCTAGATTCATGGTTTTGACCTCTTACAATAACATTAACACGAAAAATTTACAAGGTGTCAAGGTTCTGAATCCACATGCGTAATCAACAGAGGTTTCGATTTAAGATAGGGACAACATATCCTATTGCATATACAGAATTACAGAATCATATAGGATTACATCATGATTGCTAACTTGACCTGCAATGACAATCCTAGTTCCCTAGTTTCAGAAAGAGCAAATTATACCATAGCTAGCCCACCATGAAGTGGCACCTAATTTACCAACCCAAAACTTCCAAATCCAAAATCATAAGCATATGAGAATGCTTGTGATCACGCACCAATATTTTCCTATATATTTCCATAATCTTCTGACCATTTTCGATATACGCATGACCCCAGCAGTAAGAGCCAAAAAGATATTTATAAAAGCCAGAGGTGCTAAACCTTTTTCACCATCATACATATAAACATCCTCTTTAAATATTTGTGTATACTTGCCAGAGATATGGCATTGCATATGCATTTTTATCAGGTGCAGATTCATATGAAAGCACAAATAAAAAGAGAGCTAGGGATCTTACAATTTGGGTTGAGGGCCAACAGAAGGACCCTGCTCCTGCAATGCATCATAATGCCCATAACCATGATACAAAACACGAATTGGGCCTTCCTTGCCATACTCTTGACCATATTCAGCTATAGTTTTAAGGCAACTAGTCTTCTTATCCCGCATGTAAACCGTGATAGGAACCCTGGAAACAAATAAATCATGTCTAAGTGCAAAAAGCTTTGCAAGTTGCCAATAAAGGTTAGACAATTTTGCAATTTAGTTGTGGAACTCTAGGTATCATACAACTAATCAAGTGCAATTTCATTATAGTTGATCACTTTAAACAAATATCCAAGTCCTTGGGAGAAATGGAGAATGACTTCTACATGATTTACTTTTCTATGATTGCACCTACGAAATCCTATGACTTGTAATGCCTATATTTGATAAAGCAATTCAAGGAGGGGGAAAAAACACCGTCGGACATGTGATGACATGATCAGCTCAGGTTCTCCTCCCCATACGTGAGGCTGTCGCATCTGTGAAACATATGTGTCAAAATCACCTTCAAGGAACCTGAGAAAGCATGAATAAAAAATTATAGCTGCTGGCATATGAATTTCCTGGTTTAAATGAGAAAAAAAAGGCACAAAGTAGAATTTAGGTAGACATCAATCACTAGTATATTCCCCATGATATCTGCTACAATAAACTATTTTAGTGTTTTGCACAAACCCACCTTTTCAGAGAGACTTAAAAGACAAAGACAACACATCTATTAAGAAACCTTAAAATAAAAAGCTGAACATATTACTGGTTTACATTGTCAATCAGAATCATTAGAACTCGTAGGAAATAAGCTTGAGGTGGAAACAACTTGTTTGACTGACTAATAGCTTGAAAGTTTGAACTAATAGCATGCTGCATCTAAACATGGAATTCTTAATTTCCTGTTACCATTCGGTGTCCACTCGCCTTTTGATAAATTCTTCTGCAACCTGCCAAAACCAGTTGATATGTTACCCATGAGAAGATAAAAAACAAAAATTAGATGAGGAAACTGATCGAATTAGAAAGACAAGTGGACATGTTGATTCAATCTGAACAATTTAAGCAGCAAAAGAAGTACATGGACAAGTAACACACTGATAAGACTAATAGGTGAAAGAAAGAATAGAAGCTTAAAAATAATTCTATTTTCTCCAAAACTAACAACTACACCACTAGACATGGACTGGTAGGTCAAGGCCAATCAACATTAAGATATAAGAAGTCAATAAACAATTTATCTACTCGAGAAATCCTGGAAAAGAAATGAAATTAGCTTGTACTTTCAATCTGAGCTCATCAGCAAGTTCTCTTTCACGGCTTTCACTTGGAGATGACTGTCCTGCTCTTAGACAGGCACCATGAACCACAGACCGGAACAGGCATCTTCCATCTCCAGGTATACCTGTAGCACATTAGCTTACAGCATCATTCCACCATTTTAAAACCAGAAGACATTGATAAACTGGAATGTTCAAAACATTTTGCTTCGCCAACACAAATGAGGCTGCCTCTTAAACAAAGGGAAGGTGTATTCGTTTCTACTTTAGAAGCACAAAGATTATGCATCATCATAAACCAATTTGATCATTTCCCAAAAATGAAGAAAAATAATAACTTTTCAAGAAATAGGCTGGCTACACAAAACTCATTCCTCTCCTATAATCAAAGCCACCGAATTGTACACAAAACAAACAACTTAATGATACACACATCCATCAAGAAAACAATTCCCACTCCATTTAGCAACAAGGAAACAGAACAGAGCCACACTCTTCTCATATATTGGATGTGATCACATGCAAGATGCAACAAACACCAAGAACACAATCAACATGTAGAAATCTCAGCCAACAAAAAAATGCATACACCACGTATAACATACCTAAGAAAGGGGAAAAAATAGAATCACACTATACAATTTGAAAAATCAGTCTTAGGCAGCATTTAGATTTTCAAGTTTGACGGAGGCACAAATCCAAATCCAGTGTTTGAAAAGGCCCTTATAACGCAGGATTAGTTTGTGAAAAGAATCCACGAACATACGTCTAATCCCCAAAATTGAAGATCTGTAATAACATGGCAAAGTATTGTTTTAAAAATTCAAATAACTTTTTTTGAAAGTTAGGTATTAAAATCCAAATTCAAATCTTCTCTTTTTCGGGGAACATATGAGGTCTCCAAAATTAGCGTGACCCCAAAAATATTGGGACAACTTTGTTGAGTTGTATCTGAGGTCTCTATATCTGCAGGTCAGGGAGAAAAGGGGGGAGAGAGAGAGAGACAGAGATGGGGAGGGATAGAACGTGGGCCTTCTCAGAATTGAAACATCAAAAGTTGTTTACCATCCATCCCCCCAACAACATTATTGTGGTAAATTCTCATTCAAACCACAGAGTCAAAGTATTTCAGATTTCAAAGTTCATGCTAGAAAATGTATGCAACCCATTCAACAATTCCAAGAATAATGACAACACCTTGTTATCAGTTCTACATAAAACTCTTTGTTAAAAAAAAAGCAATTCGAACGAACACAAAAGGAGAGGGAAGAAAGGTTACAAACCTGAGCCAAAATCCATCTTAGTGAGTAGAATTTCCGATACGGATAAAAAGTAGCATAGCAATAAAGCAAATACACGGAAACGATCTCGATTGAGTTACGCCAAAGAAAGCATAGAATGCACGAAAAGTATCACAATCACGTCAAGTAAATGAAGAAAACCATCAATTTCTGAACTACTCAACACATACAAATGCTTCGAAGAGCGTTACCGAGCGAAAGTTCTGGCTGTGGCATGATTTTTTTTGTATCGATTAAACAAAATCAAATACTGAACAAACTACAATTGCCTCGCATTTTGATGTTATTTTGCAATACATTAATCCAAATATTCGAATTTGTGTGTTAAGATTACCCGTTGATGGTGGATATGAGTTGTAGAGTGATAAGAGAGCGATAGCGAGACATGGAAGCTTTATGGAATCACGATCTAAAGTTGGATGGTGATTAGAGAATCGAATTCGATGCCGTTTTGCTTTGGTAAGAGAAGGCGCAGAGATGAAGACTGCGAGTGGCAAATAAAGCTTCTGTTCTGGACTATACATCTTAACTACGATATTTGTTTTAAATTATCCTGGACTTTCATTGTTTTTTTTTTTTGGTTGAATTTATCTACCGAATTATATTATAGTTAGTTCAATAACGTATTGAGCTTAAAACGAGATAAAATTTAATTAATTAAGGATAAAATCGGATTAAGAAAGAACATGACGGGTGTGGCACATTGTGAGCCATGCAATTAAAGAGTATAAAAAAGGAAAAAAAATCAGATTGCTTCCCAATTTGTTGTTGAAATTTTTGGATAGAGAGAAAGAAGAGGGAGAAAAATAAAAAATTCTTCTACCTTTTATTTTCGATCTATGGCGATTCGGCCGTTGGCTCTCTTCAAGTCAAAACAAAAGTTATTCTACACAACGAGAACTATACATACATACCAAAGATTATGAGTTTTGTCACAATCTCGAAGATGAAATTTTTGAGATCAAGGTTTTGAAGCTTGATTTGGGATCTTCTAGATATACACTATAAGAGGTAGAATTCTTTTTTTTTAACTAGGTTTATTTCCAATCTAGAATTAAAATATGAAATAGGTAGACTGTTAGAAATAAAATCTCATGTATAACACATACATAGAGTTGTTAAAATATGAAAATGGTTAGAAGAATAAGTTTAAAACAATTCTGTGATTGAGGTTGATGAAATTGCTTGATATGGATTGCATGAGCAAAGTGTTGTTTAGACATGTTATGTGTTTACATTTATACCTTAAAAGGTATTTGATAATGATAGTGTATTTCAATGTGATGCAATTTTGTGATGACGAGTAAATGAAAGAAACAATATTGAAATTATTGGGATCTAAGCTACTAGACTCGAGGGAATGATACTGAGAATTGTTGGGGAGTTGGAGAATTAACACAGTAGAAATATAGTAGTTCACCAGCTCGGGAGCTTGACTAATCTACTCTTCAATGGAGATTCTTGCTCCTTCTTTCACTATTTACTATACCAAAAAGTTTATAGAATGTAAGATGTGATACTAGGGTTCTGCCCCTCTGTTGGGGGCGTTACATAGTATTTATAGGGCTTTTCCTAATTCTGCGGGATCTGCCCCGAGATCTTTGCCATTTATCCGAGGAATCCTCCTTGATCTTAGGAGGAGATCTTTCCTGGATGAGAGTTTTATGCTTCAATTATGACTTTTTGCTGCCTCTAGGGTTTCTGTTGACAAATAGCTATCTCTTTATTACTTCTAGTGCTGCTCCGATTGGGTTGGACTTTACTATGATTTTATGAGCTCTGTGCGTCTGACCTCCGCTTCCAAGCTCATACTTGAGAATTGCTCTAAGTATCATCAGTTGCCCCCCAACTCTTGGTCAAGCTGACCTGGGCAAGGGCTGAGCTTAAGATGTAGTAGAATGGTTTTTCAATCAGCGACTTCGAAGTTTGCACGGGAATTTTTTTTTTGCATGTAGGTGCTCCTGACCTGAACCTGCTCGAATTGATGAGGGTAGAACAAATGACCCAAGTTGAGCCCATGTCTTTTCCTGATCTCATGACGCTAGATAATCTGTTCTTGTTTAGCGCCACTGCAGTTGAACGGGACTAACACTTTTTTCCTGAATCTGATCTTTCTTCTACCGGGTTTGATGAGAGCGACGATGCTAGAACTCATATCAAGAAATGCAAGAGGGATGGTTCATCCTTTCCTTCATCCAGATCTTTCCTGGGGGAAGTTCTGCTTTCCTCTGCTGGGCAAAAATTGATGGATCTACTGTTAGCGACTGAGAAGGAGAGGGATGAGTTGGAGGAGGAGAACTTGCGTTTGAAAGAGAGGATAGTCAAACTATAGAGACGACTAGGAATTTTGCTTTGATTGATTTTTTTGTAATATTTGATGTTCTTGAAACCCTGATTTTCCCTTTCCATGTTTGCCGATTCTTATACACAATTTGTGGCTTTGAGAATCTGACAGCTAATCTTCCATGTTGTTTCTTGGCTTGTGGACCGAAGACCCCCATTTTTTCTTTTTGTAATGGATAGAAGTTGTGAAGCTTTCCTTCTAGTCTACGTGCTACAACTCTTGCTTTTAGTTCTTCTAGACTGGGAAGCGCATTCTGAGCTGCTGCATTTGCTTTAGGGATAAAAGAACTCGTCCTGAGCTACTGAGCTATTTTTATGGACTGATAGGTTCAACGTGAGCTCCAGGGTTCTTTTTATGAACTAACAAGTTCATCGTGAGCTCTAAGACTCTTATTACGAACTAACGAGTTTGCCGTGAGCTCCAGGGCTCTTTTTATGAACTAACGAGTTCATCGAACTAATGAGTTCGTAAGGACTCTTTTTATGAACTAACGAGATCTAAGCTGATGTTGAGTTCATCGTGAGCTCTAAGATTACGCTCGTCGTGAAGGCTCTTTTTAACGAGTGAACTAACGAGTTCATCGTGAGCTCTAAAGCTCTTATTATGGACTAATGAGTTCGTCGTGAGATCTCGAGCTCTTTTTATGAACTAACGAGTTCATCGTGAGCTCTAAGGCTCTTATTACGAACTAAGGAGTTCGTCGTGGGCTCCAAGGCTCTTATTACGGACTAATGAGTTCGTCGTGAACTCCAGGGCTCTTTTTATGAACTAACAAGTTTATCGTGAGCTCTAAGGCTCTTAAGACAGACTAATGAGTTCGTCGTGAGCTCTAGGGCTCTTTTTATGAACTAACGAGTTCATCGTGAGTTCTAAGGCTCTTATTACGAACTAATGAGTTTGTCGTGAGCTCCCGAGCTCTTTTTATGAACTAACAAGTTCATCGTGAGCTCTAAGACTCTTATTACGAACTAATGAGTTCGTCGTGAGCTCCCGGGCTCTTCGTAAGAGTGAATGAACTACAAACTTGTTGCTTTATTAATAATCATATTATAGGACAAACTTACTGAAAAAATTTCCTAAGATGTTCTGCATTCCAGGAGTGGGGTAAAATTTTCGTCAGGTCTGCTTTCATCCGGGGTGGCCACCTTAGGAATTTTTCATTTTGTACCTCATACAAGATTTGTGATATTGTTGCGGTGAGTGGAGGGACCTGTCGAGGTGCGTACCTCGGCTGCAACTTTGGATGAGGTGGTTCCAAGCGATCTCTGACATCTCCCTTTCTTTTAGGGGATCGATCTCTGTCTCTTTTTGGGGACCTATCTTGTCCTCTTTCTCTTCTGGGACTTCGGTCCCTCTTTTTCTCTTATTTCCCTTTGTCCTTTTGCATGGATGAGCTCCCCACTTTTGAGAGGAGAGCTTCTTCACCGTTTATGTACTTTTCTGCCTTGGCCAATACTTCAGCCATGCTGGCCTGGGGATTTTTCGAAATAGAGAACATCAGGTCTTTATATTGTATGCCTAAACCAGCTATGAATGCAGTAATGACAAATTTCTCGTCTGGGACATCCACTTTTAGTGATTCAGAGTTGAACCTCTGAACATAGGATCTGAGGTTCTCTTGAGGTCCCTACTTCACATTCAACAGGTAGTAACTTGACTTTCTGTACGTTCGAGCTCCTATGAAGTGAGATACAAAGGATATGGATAGCTCCTTAAAGGGGGAAATTGAGGTAGGGGGAGACTATTGAACCACACCAGGGCTGAGCCTTTCAGCGTGATGGCAAAGACTCTGTAGCGCACTGGATCCTAATATCCATGCAACTTCATTTGGTTCTTGTAAGTGTTGAGGTGATCTACGGGATCCTTTGTTCTATCAAAAGCCTCTATCTGCGGTACTCTGAATTTCAGAGGGAGGGGAAAATGCAGCACGCCAGTGGTGAACAGAGATTCAGTCTGTTGTACCAAGGCATCCATCGTAACTGGAGCCTTGCCTTTCACGGATTTCTTCATGTGGCTGAGTTCTTGCTGGATACCCTGGAAGCACTGCTCCCAGTACCGTTCTCTCATTTCCTGTTGATAGGGGAAAAAATTGTTCCTCTCGCCCCCGTCATTCTGACTTTGTACTTCTTCGTTGTGTCCATTCCTAGGGGGTATGCGAGGTTCTGGCCCTATGGTTTGGCTATTTTTCCTTCTTCGTTGACTTCCCTAAGGGGGCCGAGGTGTGGTTGCTCCCTAGGTGGTGGGTTGTTCTGGCCTTTTTGAGCTTGTCGCGCCTCTTGTGGGCGTTGTAAGAGCTTTAAGAGTTTTTCGTTTTGTTTCAACAAGCGTTGATTAACGAGGCGAAGGGCCTCCATCTCGTTATTCATGGAGAGACTCCCTACGGGTGGATTGGTCTCTTGGACGTTCTCAGGTTGTCTGCTATTAGTAGCTTCTTGTTGATCATGCATCCGTGGTGGATTTGTTTTACTTCAGCTCATGTTTCGCGTTGATACCATCAGTCACTGAAAGATCAATTTATTTATAACAGGAACAGTTGTTTCCTACAAACGGCGCCAAATTGATGGTGTATTTCAACGTGATGCAATTTTGTGATGACGAGTAAATGAAAGAAACAATATTAGAAATATTGGAATCTGAGCTACTAGACTTGAGGGAATGATACTGAGAATTGTTGGGGAGTTGGAGAATTAATACAGTAGAAATATAGTGGTTCACCAGCTCAGGAGCTCAGCTAATCCACTATTCAATGGAGATTCTTGCTCCTTCCTTCACTATTTACTATACCAAAAGGTTTACAGAATGTAAGATGTGATACTAGGGTTCTGCCCCTCTGTTGGGGGCGTTACATAGTATTTATAGGGCTTTTCCTAATTCTGCGGGATCCACCCCGAGATCTTCACCATTTATCCGAGGAATCCTCCTTGATCTTAGGAGGAGATCTTTCCTGAATGAGAGTTTTATGCTTCGATTATAACTCTTTGCTGCCTCTAGAGTTTCTGTTGACAAATAACTATCTCTTTATTACTTTTGCTGCTGCTTCGATTGGGCTGGGCTTTACTTTGATTTTATGAGCTCTATGCGTTTGACCTCCGCTTCCGAGCTCATACTTTGGAATTGCTCTAAGTATCATCAGATAAAATGCCTATGATTGATTAAGTGTGTTAATTGGAATGAATATGATCTAACATGTTTAATAGA